ATCCTCATCCTCACTATCACCATCACCATCGTCGTCTTCATCATCATCATCTCCTGCTCCTGCTAACTTCACCTGGTTGATACCCTCGTACGTCGACGACATCATGGCGATGAGCAGATTGATGAGCACGATTGACACCAGGAAGAAGTTGAGAAGGACGATGAACAGGATGAGGATGCGGTTCCCATACGACAAGTGCATCCTCTTGGTCTTGTCCCGCACCAGCTCCAACCCCTCGATGTCAAGGTCCACCTGCTCCAGCGCCGCGTTGAACCCGATCATCATGGACGAGAAGAAGTTGGTCAGCCCGGAGTTCTGCAGGTCCAGCATGACGTAGAGGAGCTGGGAGAAGCCGATGAGGAAGATGGAGTAGATGATCAGGAACTTGCGGGTGTCGTGCTTGAGCATCTGGATGATAATAAGCACAAAGTGGCCGTACTCGGGGAACCCCATCATGCCCCGGAACAGGTTCAGCGATGAGAGGATGCTCTGCAGGATCAGCAGGAACTTCTCCAGCTGGGAGGACAGCTCCCACGAGAACTGTCGGCAGTTGGCACGCATGTGCAGCCCTAGGACGAAGAGGGGAACGTGCCCTGGCTCCCTTGAGAAGCACTTCCTCCATCGCAGAAACACGATGACCATGGCAATGGGAGTCGTTAGCAGCGCGTACACGCGATCGAACAGGTGAGCGCGGTTGGTGTTGAAGTACGCCGTCCTCCCCTGCCCCAGCAGCCTCGTCAGCTCCCTCCCGAACTTGTCCATGTAGAGCATGACGCTGAGGAGCTCGACGAACGTCAGCCAGAGGTTCCAGGAGGAGGAGGAGCCGGGTTCTGTTGTTGAGAGGATCATGAGGAGGAGCCCGAAGCCGACGCCCAGCCAGAACTTGGACCGGAACTTCTGCTTGGCGTACCTCTTCCACTTCTGGTCCAGCACCTTCTTCAGCTCCCCGCTTTCGAGGATGTCAAGTCGCTGGCAGGAGACGACCACTTCTAACACGCTCAACTCCTCTTGGTGTTCCTTCTCCTCCAGTCCCTCCAGCGGCACGTCGACCCCCTTGAGGTAGAGTCTTCTGCAGGTCACTGGCCCGTAGACCCACTCGGTCGTCATGAGCTTGTCCAGCAGGTGGTTGAAGATCTTGAGCGACCCACGGGCTGCGGACAGGGAAAGGGGAGTGTGATGTTCGCGATAGCAGCGCTGATTGCTGAGCGTCTCGTAGATCCCCTCCCTCCTCATCAGCTCCTCGATGTGGTCGTACATGTCACAGCACCAGCTGCTAGACTCCTCCTCCTGCTGTCCTCCTGCCTCAAACTCCCCTCCCCACTCCTGCTGGGACTCCCCTGTGCCCTCCGTCCTCCTCGAGGAGTGTAGCACCATCAGATGCAGGAGGTTGTATCCTTCGCTCGTCTTCATCTCCAACGACGCTCCTTGCGAGACCAAGTAGTCGAACACGCCCCTCTGGTTGGTGCAGGCAGCGAAGGCCAGGGGGAACTCGCCGTAGTTGCAGCAGCCATCGGAGAGCTTCGGATCCTTGAAGAAGCTGAGCGATGAGAACAATCGTCAGCAAGCATCCTCAATTTTCCTTGACCCCCCCCACTTCCACAGCCTCCTCCTCCTCCTTACCTTCCAACAGCCTGCTGGTTCAGTAGCACTTTCCCTTCGTCACTCTCCACAAACTTCCTGATGATGCTCATGTCCAGCTTGCGCACTATGGCGATATGTAGGACATTCTCACCCCTTCCAACAAAGTCAGCCCCTTCCTCCCTCCCCCTTCCCCCCTCCCGTCCTCTTCTCCTCTCTCCTCTTTTCCCCTGTCTCCCCTCCCTCGCCTCTCCCATGACTTTCTTTTCGTTCCCTTCCCCTGCCTCCCTTTCTTCCCCTCTATTCATCCTCTTCATTTTCCTACTCTCCTTTCACTCCCCTCCTTCTTTCCCTCCCCTACTTACCCCTAACCCCTTCCCCATTCCTCTCTCCCCCTCTGCCCGTCTCCCCCTTACCACTTTCCCCCTCCTGCGTACCCTCCCCCTCTTACTTGTATAGGTTCCCCTCGTAGACTGCTGTCCGCAGCTCGGGGTAATTGTCCCACAGCTGATGCATCAGCCTGTTGTGCTCCTTTGAGGAGTTAAACAAGACGGCGAGGTGCAAAGGAGTCTCTCCTGTAAATTCCTCTCAGCACAGGTTCGCTCCCTCCAACTCCATTCCCTCCTTTTTCTCCCCAACGACCTCCTGTGGATCTCCTTGCAACCTTCCCACCGCCTCCCTTCTCCCTCCCTCCCCTCTCCCTCCCTTCCGTCTTTCCTCGAATCTTTCAGTAACTTTGACAATTCTTTCCATTCGTTTCCTCCAGATCATTCTTCAGTCCTACTCACCCATAATTCCCCGTCGTTCTCCAGTCATCCAATCCACCGTCTTTGAATTTTTGCTTCATCGCCAACGTCAGTCTCTTCCCCTCCTTCTCGCCCCTCCCCCTCATCTTGCTTCCTCTTCTTCCTCCTCTTCGCTCCTCTTCCTCCTTACCTCGTTGCCATCCTCCAGCTCTTCTGTCCCTGCTCTGTGTGCGCGTAAGTCACTGCATTCCAAATTGTTCCCGGGATTGTAGAAAGCAGAGCCTGACCAATCATCAGAAATGAACAAGACGAAAGGAAAGGAAGGATGCCGAGAGAAATCGAGGAGAGGTTGAATATGGAGAGACGTGGAAAGGAACGAGGAGGAGGGGGAAGAGGAGGAAGGGAAAGAGGAAGAGGAGGAGGGGGAAGAGGAGGAAGGGAAAGAGGAAGAGGAGGGGAAGAGGAGGAAGGGGAGAGGAGGAAGAAGGCAGAAGACAAAGGAAAGGGTGAGGAGGAGCGAACCTGGTGTGCGTTGTCCTTGTTCGCCTCAGCTTCCAGCATTCTTACAGGCTGCTGGGACCCAGGCTGGGCAGGTAGAGTCAACAAAGGGTCGGCGGGGGTAGCCGATGGATGAGACAAACGTGAAGACAGCAAGCAGGAAGAGGCGCTAGCAGAGCGATGTCATGGCAGATAGGAAGAGAGCAGTCAGGAAGCAGACAGCAGCCGGGCAGGTGTCGGGGCAGGAGCGGGTGGGATGACCGGAGGAAAGAACGGGAGGGCAAAACTCACCATCTTCTTGAGGAGGCTCAGCCACTTCCTGCTCACAAACCCTCTCCTCGGACTGATCCCTCCAGCCGCCGAGCTCGAGCTGAAGTGCGTCTTGCTGCCTTGCAATCCTGAAGTCCATCCTTTACGCTCGCCGGTGATGGAGGAGGGATACCTGGCAAGGATATGCCCGCTCTGGCTATCAACGCATCTCCGGAAGAGAAGGCGCTGGAGAAGTAGGGAATGACTGGCAACCAGACTCCGAGCAAGTAACTCACCTTGAGCTGACTTTATCCTTCAACTTCCTCCACCCTGCACACGCTTTGAGCTCGTGGCTTGACAAGTCAGGATGTGCTCTGCCTGATGACGACTCTTTGACGTCTTGTTCCACCGATGGCGGCAAGGCCTTCGCCCTTCCTCCTTCGTTCGCCTGCATGCCAGTGAAACTCAACGATCCTGAACTGGCAGGAAGCAGTACAGGATCGATCTCTGAAAGACTGCGAGGCTCGACTTTGGCTCCTGCATCCCCTTCTACCATCACAGCTCGTCAAGGCACGGCTCGATGCAGAGATGTAGCCGTCACCTTGCTCCCCCCGTCGGGTCTTCCGTCTGGACGCTGGTCTGTCTGGAGGAGGAGCCCCGTCGTTCAGAGGCCTTCTCTTGGGCATGCTGGCGATCCTTTCAGTGCGGTGTTACCATCCCCTGCACGCTACCGCACGTCGTTAGAGTGAGAAATAGCCCATGTGTGAAATGCTCATGGAGGAGAAGCAGGAGCATTCAGGTATTCGTGGATGCCTATATCTCTGCCTACTATCCCATGGCATGTAGAACTTTCTGTGAAATTCCGTTTCTTGACGCTCCACTCCTGTATCCCTGTCCTCGCTCTCCTCGCTCTCCTCGCTCTCCTCAGCACTCTCTTTCCCCCCATCTCTCGCAATCGCCTCATCCCCTTCATCCATCCCATCTTACCCATCTCTCTCCTCGTCGTCTGACTCGACTTCCTGTGCTTCTTGCGTGCCCCCGCAGGGATATCCTGCCTCCTTCCAACCGCTTCAAACGTTCTCCACTCTTAACCCAGTTTTCAACATCCATATCCTCTCTTCTCCTCAACCCAACTCATCAAATCCCTCCTCCTCCCCCTGCACCTCCTCTCTCCTCTCTCCTCCCCTCCTCCGTCCTCCCTCGCCTCCCTCTCCGCTCTCTGCCTGATCACGGATTGATGTATCCGACGAACGGCAAACAAATAAAGGCGGAAATTGCTACCCCACAAGACCTAAGAGGGCATAAATGATAGATTTGATAGGGGTGGTAAGTGTACTCTGAAGAACTGTCGGATTATTAGTTCCACCGAGTTATCCCGAGTTGAGATGAAATCTACCTCGGGCAGGACAAAATATCCGATGATTGGATTCGAATTGAATCGATACAGCATCCGGGTCCGCCCCGGTTGAATGAGGGTATCCGGGAGGGTATCCGGGAGGGTATCCGGGAGGGTATCCGTGACAGTGCCTCTTGACAATGCGGGCTGCGCTGGCGGCCGCAGCGGTCGTCGCGCTATGCTTGGTGATGGCGAGGGAGGTCAGACAGGTGATATGAGGACATGATGAGATGATATGTATGTCGAGGTGTGTGTGCTGCTTGTGGGAGATGATCGAGAAAGATTCCTGTCCTGCCATCATGACTTGGTCCTCGACTCTCCTGATTGTCCTCTTACTGACTTGGAAACTCGTTGCTCATCTGTTGATCTTTACAGGGCCCTTCGTCCTCCCGCCATGCCGCCAGCAAGCAAGTTGTGCTGATGGAGGACATTGAATACGTCCCGGTGACGTGACACCTTATGATATGCCGTCCTCACTCTGTTGAGCCAGGTTCGTGTTCCCAGTGACCGTTTCAAGGGAGCCCGGTTGATGAGTTTGTCCAACATCATCGAGCCTGGGTGAGCAAGAGATCTGATCTTTGTGCGACCCTCTGACTTCTCCCCCCCCTTACCTCTTACCTCTCCTGTCCTGTCCTCCCCTTCCTACTCTCCCCGCTCCTCTCTCCTCGCCCTTCCTGCTCTTCGACCTCGCTTGTTTCTTCAGAATGTTGACCATCAACCCGGGATCGAGCACAGGACTTGGTTCAGTCTCTGTACGTCCTGTTCTCTCGCAGCATCCCTCCGCTGATCCCTTCGCCAGGGCGAGCAGGGGAAATGCTTCGCAGACATCTCGTGTGGGACAGATTGTGGCAACTGCCCTCAGTGAGTACTGATGTTGACATGTGCCCCTTGACAAGTCGATCGACTTGACTCACTCCCTCCTTCCTCAGTTGTCACTGCCTGATGGGAGACGGCCGGGAAGTTGCGTGCGCGTTCGGCAAGTGCAGGTGGAGTGGAAGGAGCGGAACAGGAGGGGGGCGGTTGACGCAGCGGTTGCAGCTGCGTTGCCCACTGCAAGTGCGCAGCCACGTCGGAGTGCCCGATGGCCTGTGGGACGGATTACTCGCCTGATCTCTGCGGACAGACGATCTGTCGAGCAGGTTGGAGAGGGGGAGGGAGCTGGGGAGGGAGCTGGGATGGTTTGCTGACTGTGAGATGAAGGGAAATGTTACGAAGCCTTTAACCTACCGATGAGTGTGAGTTGAGCGACAGAAGAATTTCCCATGCTCTGTCTTCCCTTCCTGTCTTCCCTTCCTGTCTTCCCTTACTGTCCGCCCTTACTGTCTTCCCTTACTGCCCTTACTGTCTTCCCTTACTGTCTTCCCTTACTGCCCTTACTGTCTTCCCTTACTGTCTTCCCTTACTGCCCGGCCTCCCTGTTGGTCCCTTCCTCTCTCCCTTCCCCTTCATCCTTGTCGAGTATCTTCTCCCCTCGCCGCACATGGCGTACACCCACTTGTCTTCTGGCATCCTTTCCTCCCAGCTCACTTCTCTCCCCGCACGGAACTTGCTCTTTGAGGCTTGTGCGACGTGTCTCCGTCATTGAGCCATCCCAGGACCCCGAGTGGCGAATCCGCAAAGCATGATCGCAAGGGAAGAGCTTGTTGGCGAGGACGGCCTGTAGGACTGTAAAGTATCTTTTGGATTTTTCTCTGCAGGCTCAATGACTTGGACGACTGTCAAAGAGTTTTGCTTCTCATATTTGATTCACTTTGTTATGATGACAAGGTAGATAGACAGACATTCCCCCAACCCCTCCTCAACCTCACTCCTCACCATCGTCTTGACGGCTGTGCTGAGAAAGGCCGAGACGGAAGTTTGCGGTTGGTAGAGACTTCGCTGATGTTGGCTCTACACTCCCGGTCAGTCCTAGCCTCCTCCTACCTCCCTCCATGGAACTTCTCTCTTGCTCTCCTTTTCACCACCTTCCTCCCCTCCCCTTCCTCCTCCTCTACCCCTCTCCATCTGCTCCACAGCGCATGGTTCTGATCATCCTCTTCCCTGTCCCTCCCTACTTCACCTGCGGATCGTCTTCCACGTCACCAGCGGTTGGATCTGCTTCGAGTCGACATGCAGCGTGTCCACTGAGATCTTGTCGGTCTTGGACGCGGCCATGGCGGACAGAGGGCGAGGAGGGAACCTCTTCTTGTCATGGAATGACCTGTAAACCTTCAGCATCTCCCCTTCTCTCCTCCTGCTCCTGCTCCTGCTCCTGCTCCTGCTCCTGCTCCTGCTCCTGCTCCTGCTCCCTCCTGTTCGCTTTTCTCCTCTCGTCCACCTCACGTCGTCATCTCTTCTCACCACAGCGCTCTCCATTGTATGTCGTGCCTGTGTTGATTTGTGCCCATGCTCGACTTCGCCCCCTCCCTCCCCGGATCTGCAGAGTCTCAGCTTGCAACTTCCTCCCCATCCCTTCGTCACCTTCAGTAGTCGCCTGGAAGCTCGTATGGGCCATCGCGCTCTGTGCCAAAGTGAGTTCTATCTCCTCTCTCTCCTCCTCCTCACTCCTCCTCCTCACTCCCTCTCCGTCCCTCCCTCCTCTCCCTCCCTCCCCTCCATCCCTTCATCGGTTTCTGCTCTCCTCCTTCCCTCCTCCTCGTCACTCCCTCTCCATCCCTCCCTCCCTCCCCTCTTCTCCCTCCCTCCCTCCCCTCCCTTCATCGGTTTCTGCTCTCCTCCTGCCTTCCCCTTCCTCCTCTCCATCCTCATGGGACCCTCACCCTGGGTCGCGCTCTCATCCCGCTCGGCTGGGAGGAGGAGAACAAGTCTGGAGTGCGGGAGGAGCGGAAGGCGATGAGAGCTTCCTGTGGTTGAAGTTCCTCCTTCTCCCTCTGCTGGAGCCTCTTCTGGAGTAGGAAGGAAGCACCGAGGTTGATCGAGGATTCGCAAGTCTGCGGGCAAGTGAGGGAGAGGAGGAGAGATGGGGAACGAGGGACGATGGAAGAGGCGACGAAAGAGGGAAGAGGCGGCCAGGCAGAGAGGAGCAGAGGCAGGATGGCATGGTTGGGAGAAGGAGATGGGAAGGGATCGGGTGGAAAGTTAGCAGATGAAGGAGGGAGTAGGAGAGAAGAAGAGGAGAAGGGAGAGGAGAAAAGGAAAATGGGGGGGGGAGTGAAGAATGGAGGAAGGGATGAAAAAGATCACATCGTGAAGGAGCTGTTTGAGGTCTGCCAGCCTGACAATGCCTGTTGTTGTATTGAAGAGAGACAGCAGATGCCCCGTGCAGTCTTTGATTTCCTTGTCAACCAGGTCCTAAAGTAAAAGAGGAACGATGAAAGAAGTCCAGGAGGAGGAGGAGGAGAAGGAGGAGGAAGGGAGGAGGAGGAGGAGAAGGAGGAGGAGCAAGTCAGTGGAGCTGAACGAGACAGATCCCAGCTTGCATCAGGCAGCAGCACCTTGTGTTTGAGCGAGAGAATGTAGGAGATCTTTCTCTCTAGGTTCCGCTCGTCGAATGGTCGATGGGATGAAGAGTTGCTCAGCTTCGGCTGACCGGCCTGCTCGGAGCGAGAATTCATCTCCTGCTCTCCAAGCTCCTCCTCCTCCTCCTCCAGCTTTGACAACTCCTCCTGCTCATCAGCTCAATCTCTCCATCGCAACACCTTGTCCTCCTCGTACCTCCACCTGTGCCATGGAGCTGCTTCCTACCGCCCCTTCCTCGTCCTCGAGGTCAGCGATGAGGGAGGACAGAATCTCCGTCTCCTCCTTGGAGTCGTCGATCTTCAACGCTCTCCTGCCACCGCCCTTGTGCCTTCCTGTCGACCAGGAGCTTGAGGGATTGCTCCCACTCCTTCTCTCTCCCAGCTGGTTCCTCACGCTAGTCCCCGTGCTCTGCCTGCTCGCCCTGCTGCTCTCCACGGCTCCGTCGCCCTGCCAACTCAGCGTCACCTGAAGGGTCAGACATTGCCATAATCGCACAGGATGCGAAGCATTCAAGGAGGAAGAGGAGGCGGCCTTGAGCTGCTCGACCAGGCTTGCCTTCTCGCTCATCAGATGCTCCAGCTTCATCCTCAGCTCGTTAGTCTTCCCGGCCTGCGAGCTCAGCGTCTCCTCCAGAAGCCTGATGTTCATCTTCGCCTCCTTCAGCTCGTCCTTGGTCCTCATCAGCTGCTCCATCAGCCAGCTCGCAGAGAATTTCTTCCCTCCTTCTCCCGCCATGCTCGCTTCCTTCCCTGACTTTCCCTTCCTCAACTCCAACGAGAAGTCCTTCGCCTCGTCCCTGTGCATGGCGGACTGGGCGAGCTCGAGCTCCTCTATCTTTTGCGCCACTGCTCCTGCAGGAACTTGATGTGCCGCTGCTTGTCATCGTGCGCTCGGTCCAGCTCGTTCTTCAGCAGCTCCTCTTTGAACGCCATCCTCTGCGCCAGGTTCGAGCTGCTGCTCTCCAGCTTCTCCTGGTTCTCACATTCCACTCTCTTCAGCTTCAGCTCGGATTTCAGCCTTGAGATTTGAATTTCTGACTGAGCTATCCGGTCGTGCAGCTCGAATTCCCGCTGCTCTGCCTCGGACTTGAGCAAGTCTACCTCGAGCTGGTGCTTTTCTTCCATCCTCTTCAGATCCTCGTGGAGCTTCTGTTCCGAGACTGACTTCGCTTGCAGGAGCAGCACAAGTGACTCCATGTTCTCCTGCGCCAGCTCTCTCCGCACCCGAAGCTCTTCTGACGCCTTTTCAGCCTTGGTGCTGAACGCTGCAGAAAACGCTCCCTTCATCCTTTTCACGGACCTTACAGCATGCACCCTGCGCAAAAGTCAAAGTCGAAGACATGTATCCTAATGAATGTTTTTGATCCTACTCGCTCGTTAGCTTGTAGCAAGTCATCTCTTGTCTTTCCAATGTTACTCCATGACTTTACCTCGAAAATGCATGCCAACTATCGTCTAGCCTGTCTTGCACTTGATCTCTATGATCGGAGCTTGCTACCCTTGTCACCACGACTTCGTATGGAACCCCTGACATCTCGTTGCTCTCCTGATCCCAGATCCTCTCCTCCCTCCTCTCATTGAACCTGGGCTCTTGCAAAGAGCCCCAACCTACACCACCCCCCCAGAATTGACGTAGCTATCCTATTCCTATCAGCTGCATCCTACTCCGCCATCCCTCGCAGAGCATCTTTCACATTGTCGTTCCTTGTCTCTCTGCATCTTCCTCGCGCTCGTCTGGTCCTCCCCTCCCATCGTGCCCTCCCTCCTTCATTGTCCGAAAGCATTATTCTGAAAGTGTTCGCCCGTTGAATTTACCCTCATCCCCTTCTTTCCCCCCATCATCTCCCTCATACCTTTGACCACATCCCCTCTCGCACCCCAACGGAAAAAGTAACTGTCGATCAACGGTCATGGCGGGATGCGGAGATGGGGGGAGCGGATGAGCAGCTGAAAGGCAAGCGGAGAGGAAGAGAGGAGAAGGAGAAGGAGAGGAAAGCGGGAAGGGGAGGAGGAGGGAAGCAGCTGGAGAACCAGGGCGAGAGACGGAGAGATAGAGAGACAGAGAGCTTGTGAGGGGTCCATAGCAGGGAGAGGAATCCTGCAGAGGTCGGAGGGACCTCGCCGGCAGAGGCCATCAGCTGGTCTGACAGCTCGTCGTTGAAGCGAAGGAGACAGGTAGCTGAGCGAATCCTCGTCTCGTTTCTTCTCAATTACATCTGACTGCCATGTTCATACAGAGCGCATGTCTTCGACAATATCCAAGAAATCCAAGGGGGTGAAGGGAGGGGACAAAGGAGTCTCCTCCTCTTCTATGTCCTCTTCTTCGAATTTAGCTTCCAAGGCATCCATGGCAAGACACCGAAGCACCAGACAGACGGGCATGAGCTCGAGAAGATCAGGCATGTCGGCGAGTCAGGTCATAAATAACTCAAAGCACCCCTTACCTCTTACATTGCCACGTGGTAGGTCGGAGAGAGGACGCACAGCCTGGTTGTTCGCGATCCTGAGACAGGAGCAGACGTCACGCCCGCCAGCCTTCTGGAGTCAGACGCATCTCCCATGCAGCAAGTTCCCTCGGGGAGCCTGTCCGGCCCAGGGAGCCAGCATAGCTCGGACAAGTTCGATATGGATAGCATGTCTTCAGCTGGTTTTAGCCGATCGGGATGGAGCAGCCAGGGGACGTCGACGCCCGTGAACGAGGAGCAGGATGAGGTGCCGGTGCGAGACGAGATGGAGGAGAAGGGGAGCCACCCGATCGTAGAGGAGAAGAAAGAGCCGCTAGTCCTGCTGGCCTCCGACGAGCCTCCCAAACCGGCTGATCTTGAGAAGGACGCGACGATCTTCCTGTCAGAGACTGAGACCTTCTTTCTCTTCGAGATCCCCTCCAGCTGCGTGGCTGACGACGATCCCCAGCTGGAGGCCGTGAAGGAGGTCAACGCTAAGTACCAGGAGCTGGTCAAGTCCAAGGCAGGGCAGGACAAGTACAGCGATAGAGCCATGCAGACTCTGAACATGGCGTTGAAGAATAAGGACGCGCAGGCGACTCCTGCTACCACGGTCAGCGTTGGAGTGGACGTGACGAACTACGAGATTCATGACGCGATCCTGGCGCTGGAGGACAAGACGGAGGAGGAGGACGAAGAGATCATGCGCTCAATGGCGAGCAATAGCAAGGGAGCGAACAGCTCGGACGGTCTGAGCGCGATTGACGCTCTGTTAGGAGGGAACTCAGATATGTCGAGAGAGGAAGAGAGGATAATGTCGTCGAAGAGCTTCAAAGACTCGCTCATGTCGTTGGAGAGGATTGTTATGCAGAATTTGTACCACGAGAGGCAGCTCAAGTATCGGAACCTGCTGCCCCCGGAGGTCCCCAAGGCCGAGGAGGAAGGGGAGGAGGAGGTTGTACGGGACTCCTTGCTGGGACCCTCGTTTGACGTGCGCCTGCAGAGGAAGAAGCTCGAGTTCCTTTGGTGCTTCGAGTGTGAGCTGAGCAGGTGAAGTGGAAAGATGCCGATCGCAATGGTGGTGGTGGCAATCATGTTGATGATGATTGAGCCGATTGAAATGATGATGATGGTGATGATGATGATGATGACGATGACGATGACGATGATGATGATGATGATGATGATGATGATGACGACGACGACGACGACGACGATATGATGATGGAGATGATTGAATTATGATGATGATGATGAATAAGATGATGTAGTAGTGGTGGTGGT